GATTGGGATCATGATTGGATCATGATAGGATGATTTTTTAATAAAACTAGGCGGATGGAGGTATTAGTATGTGGTGTGTGCATGCCTATGAATGCATGTATTTGTATGTGTGCGAATATGAATAAAAATATCCTAAATTACAAAAAAAAGACTTGTATAATATGTATTATAGTTCAGTTTGACGAACGATATCTGCCTCGTTTGTTGCTGGAGGACAAGATGCATCTTACATCGCGTGCTATAAAAAGACGGAGCTGTACAAAAACGTAAATTAATAGTTCGCCTCAGAGTTTTATTTGTGTATTTATTTATTTTTTATTATTTCTTCCCCAAGCTCATAAAATAATTTTGGGTCGCACATAAATTGACAGGGTCGGTCGGAAACCGGAAACAAACAAATTTTTTTTTTACGCCTAGTCATGGTTTGTGAGGAGAGCATACTGTCACAAAACACATTCATGTAGAACAACAAATAGAAGAACAAACATAGTCCACAAGTCATCACCATGTAACTCCAGGGATAATGTCATAATTCGTATTCATTAACCAAGCGGGTTTGATCGTTCCCCTTCCCCTTTTTAAGCACTTGAGAATTACGACTGTGAAACAAGCATCAAAGCGCTGTATGGGGCCCCACAGGTTTCGGCTGTATTAAAATCACAATCTGTCTAATTACAGGTATGCACAGTCAGAGTGGTGAGAAAAGGAGAATGTTTTCTACAGAGATGCCTTGAAGGCTTTGTTAATACACTGACTGGAATAAATTCCTCACGCAAGGAACTCAGGTGCCACACATTTCCTGTACCGAGAGCCTTTAGAAACAGCCTTCCAGGTGAGAGTGAGACTGTGACTCAAGTTGTCTCCACTCGAGCCGTGAGTAAACATCATCTCGCACTTGATCCCGCAATAAGCCCAGTAATGAGGCCAAGCACTTGGCATTAAGATCACAGAGCGCTCGTCTGCCCTCGGTCTCACGCCGCACAGTCAGATGCTGTTTGCTGCTGCACTAATTTTTGACTCAGTTCCGTGGGAGATGAGAGCGTCTACACGGGTGCCATTAGTCACCAAGCATGGGATAGCAATCGCATTTACAAAAGGGTTTTTTTAACAAACATTATGCTGTGCGGCCTATCACACAGCAGCTTTTTACACATGAATCAACTCAATGCAATGTCTCAGAGACCTTTGTTGCACTAGTTGCAATTTATTAGTTGCTGTTGTTTACCCTGCCACCAAAACATTAAAAATATGCAAAAATTATAAATAATGGTCACACTTTAGATTAGGGTCCAATTCATACAATTAACTATGACTTTTCCCTCAATAAACTCCTAATTACTGCTTTTTGGATAGTTGTTCAGTTTAGGTATTAAGGGATTCACTTTGAAATTAATTTTTGTTATGTTTTAGCTTACCTCAAGGGCATCCAAGATGTAGTGTCTTTGTTTCCACAGTATTTTCAATTTTGACATTTTTCGGTCAAACCGTTGTAAGCAGGTTTAGCGGGTCCACCTCAAAGAGCATGCACAGAGAAGTCAAAATTAAACTTGATTTAATGACTCGTGAATGTAAGTACACAGTGATGGCCTAAGACACAAAACGAGCGGTTTGTGTGAGTAAACGAACGGTATTTATATAGTGTTTACCTCTTGTTAACAGCCCTGTCGAAATGTTCTGAATCCATCTGAACCGAACCAGAGCCCTTCTAACGGACTGAACCATGTCCAACATACGCCGGAAGTGATCTCTCGGGCGTCTACGTCACGCATTGTTTACACGGAGATTTCGGAAGTATTACCTCTCACTAAACATATTATTGGGATATATCGAAGTCTTCCATTGCGATTTATCGTAGCTACGTCACGCATTGTTTACACGGAGATTTTGGAAGTTTTACCTCTCACTGAACATATTTAGATTTACCGTATAACTTATCTAAATAAGTGAAAGGTAAAACTTCCGAAATCTCCGTGTGTGTATATATAGGCTATATATATATATATATTTTTTTTACAGTTATAGTTTCAAGAGTTTCTCCTGCATGTGGATGTGCGTTGTGTACCCCGTGACAGACTTGTGTTTTTATTTGATGCTTGGGAAAAGAGCACCACTTGGGTGGTTGGAGCCCTGGCAGAATCCCAAAGTCTAAGTAACCTTTAATCCTTAATCCTCAACCCAAACCTGACCCTTACTCGCGTCTAGTTGTCGGACGTCTGTCTCCAAAACCTTTAAACCAAAACATAGGATTTTTGAGTATAAAAAAGGAATAGATTTTACGTTATTTTATTACTGATTAGTCGTGTCACTAAATCACATTTACATTAATACATATTTGATACTTAATATAAAATGCATAGGCTATTTTTAATGCGTTTTAGCCTACATGAAACAGGTAATCCGCAGCATGTCGCTGAAAAATTGTGAACAAAGGTCGCTTCGAAGTCTCCGATTATCTTCTGCCTTAAGGCTACACAAGCATCATTACATTTATTATATAAATCTTCGATAACATAGGTCAGATAAGTACGAATGATTATCTGTTTTCAATTGTGCTGAACTTTCGACTTATATGTTGAAAGGTGTGTTTAGCTTCCATTATCATATTAAAGATTAGGCTATGTATAACATCAGTGTTCGTCATAAATGACAGATTTTAAATGGCAAATAATTTTAATCAGGCGATCTTTAAACGCAGATTTGGCGCAGTTGTAGCCTATAGTGTTTGCTTCAATAAAAAAATAATTACCATTGTGAAGGAATATTAACAACAACAACAACAACGGTAGGCCTAATTATAATCATAAACGATGCACATGCGTGTGTGTGTGTGCAGCGAATATTAGACTAGTTAATAAACAAATTACAGCAGAATTCCTCGCATAGCGTTCAAGTCCAAAGTCAGTTTGTTGCTGAACTTTGATCATTTTTTTATAGCAGGTAAAGATTGTTTGGTCTTCACAACTTCATGTAAAACAGCTTTCAGATTTCTTTGTGATAGTCACTACATAAGAGCCACTATGATGAGGTGAGTTTTGATGAGCTTCAGTTTTAAATAATATAGACATTTTTGCTGTTGGTTTCTATCTTTTTTTATTATTTTTGAGTGTCGCTTGAACATTCATGTTTTGTTTCCCACATTAAAGGTTTTCTGTTCTAATCTGCCTGTCAGTGCTGCTGTTCAGCACTTCAGCCAAACCATACAGGCCCAGGGTATGTTTAACCTCTAATATGGACACTCTTAATTTACAGCAAAATATTTTGACTGTCTAATGTTACAAAATAAAAATAAAAAATAAAAAAGGGCTATAGTTGCTTTTAATTACAACTGTTTTTACAAGGTCTGCCCTGACCCTTCTTGCCATTTTGAAGAAGAAGAAAAGGATGTAAAGAATTTAACATGAACTTTTCTTGTATAACAAACTGTGATTACTGACATTGCTATATTACTGACATTGCTAAAAGCAGTAATCTAATTTTATTGGGATATTTTAAATATATTTAATATTTTAAACAACCCATTTGCGAATATTTGGCTTGTTGCTTTTACAGGAAAAAGTGCTTGGCAAAGCAGTTCAGGACACTATAGTGTAAGTACTTGTCTTGCCTTTTGCACACACTGTGAAGGAGGTCTAGGTATAAGGTATATTTATATTTACTTTAACCAAATATTCAAATGATTAAAATATCTTTTTCATGGTAGTTTTGATCAACGCAATGAGAAGATGATCCAGGGAATGGAGGAGGTGGAGCCACCACAGGACATGGATATAACAAATTCTGACATCGATCCTAACATGTTGATTTGGAAAGCAGTAAAAGAAGAAATTCAGCCGAAATACAACAGACCTGAAGAGGATAAAGATGCTCTCTACCACTCCTTTGACATAAAACATCCAGCTGACCCAAAACAGTATGAAAACTATTTTCAGCCACCGGGACACGATCAGGTACAGATGTATGACAAACCAGAAGAAGATAGGGACGATCTATACCATGGAATGTTTGATGCAGCAGCAGCTGTCGAGCCAATGAAAAGAGAGAAGGATGTAATTGGAGGTAATGGCAGGCCCATCTACTCAAGCCCTGAAGAGGACAAAGATGACATGTACCACGCAGATCTCAAAGGACATCAGGCTGACCAGCATCCTGTAGCGATGAATATATTCGCCAATCGCCCCATAAGAGTGCACACAGAGCCAGAGGTAGACCTGGATGAGATTTATCATAGGCACTGATACAATACGTCATGTCGTACCTATAGGACTGCAGTACTGGATATTAATTCATTATGTGTGGTTTTAATTAAATGATCTATATTTTTTAAAATCATAAAAAAAATGGTTGTTTGTTCTTTAAATATAGTACTATACAGAAAAAGAATTTCACACTCAGCAATATCAGGAAGACTGTGACCATAAGCCATATTTACGCACTTACTGTTTTTTTAATTAATTGTTTTTAATTAAATGAGAAAATGGAATACATTTTTATACAATCATAACAAAATAATTGAAAAAATATATATATATTTCAAAAAGAAAGTATCTATTGAGGGAAATCATTATAAGAAAAGCAAAAGTATTACATTTCCATAGAGGACATTCACAGACCTCGATTTAATACACAGAACAACGGGCAAGTGAAATACTGGTGGGGATTGAGCTACACCTGTCGCACAGAAGAAGTCAAATAGAAAAGAAATAAATAAAACATTGAATATTTAAAGGCTGAACAAAGCTCACAGTTCACAAAACTTAACTTGAATTTTTTTAATAAAAGGTGGGTACAGTTCAGTATTTTCACATGGTTTTACAATATGAATTGTATGCTTTTTCTCTATTTTTTAAATTATCACATTACAGTGAAAATGTCAAAATCTAAAGGCACTAAATGAATAACATACATTTTTATATAATAAGTAATAACATAGATATTATCTTCATATAATTGATATAAAAACATTGTATTTGTGCATTATCTATAGGATTTTTGGTCTAATCACTTTGGTGAAAAACTACCAAACGACTCCTCTTTCAGCATTGTTCATCAGGTGGAATGACACCTTTCTTGATAATAAGATTTCCATACAGTGCTGTCTCCCTGTTAGAGAGATTTAAGAATCCTCGATTATTTTTCTTAAAAAAAAAAACCCAGATCATCACAGATCATAAATAAAAATGCTCACCCAGTTGCCACTACAGCAAATGCCTTTTTAGCACGCTCATAGAATGCAAACCGCTCAACAAACTTGAAGTTACCCTAAAAAAAAAAGTTCATTTTTTAAGGTAATAATTTTGTATATTATATATATATATACACACACACACACACACACACACACACATTTGATATCCTGGACAAAAGCGTCGTATTCCCTTTGTAAACCTAGCTTTGTCAAATATAATTTCAATAGTGATGAATGTGTCCTCATCATATTAGTTATGATCTTTTATGTATGTAATAGCTTACATCTGATCCTGCTTGTTTCAGGAGGTCAGAGTACTGGTCCCATACCGGCACTTTCAGTCCCTTTAATTTGTCACTGTCCACAAGGTCCATGACAGCTGCCTAATAAATCAAACCATATTCAGTTACAGACACTGAATATGAAAAGTTACATACATGAATAACTGAGTTTAACCTTGTGGTTTAGCCATTTAAAAAACATAAAAGATGCCAAAGAATGTTATCACCCACCGAATCATCATAGGTATCAAGAGGAAAAAGCTTCAGTATAGCCTTCAGAAGTTCTGGTATACCTACACCTTAAAGAATAAAACAGATCATACACTGACTTGATCACCTTGCACAGAAGTGTAAGTTACAAACATTTGACATTTTTGGCTGTACAAATAATGCATATTACAAAATTCTGAGACCAACAGATATCGAAAAATACAATGGTTATCATTTACAAAATAAGTAGGCCTATTATTGGTTCTGTAAAACCATAATCAAATTAACATGAGATCTCTTTCAAACAGTAAAAAGATGTTTTTTTTCATTAAAGTTGTATAGGAAATACCAATACATAAATGTTTAGACATACCATCCGCTCTTATCTCTACTGGACCACATTTACAAATAGATGTGGCTGGAAAATTTGCGTCTGCAAGAACTAAAAAGAAAAAAAGGCTAAATGACAATTCATACATGTCGTTCATTTCTTATTAGCTACAGAATTACAGCAATGATGACGTCTCGTCTGCGCTCATAAGACAAACCAGATCCACTCAAATTTGTAGACGGACAGAAAATCGTCGCTTTACAACATCAGCGGGAGTCGAAAGAGTAACGCTATGTGCTTTGGCTTAGAGATAATAAAAATGTGACATTTTTATGAGAGACAGCCTACAAAGTTTTTGAGTGACATTTTGATGATGGAAATGAAAGCGCATGTTGCGTGTTAAGGAGCGCAGCCAAAGCAATAACACTTCCCGTTTCAATGCTCGAACTGCGATATATCCGTGGCGTTTTTAAATCACATTTAACTTCAAATAAACCAATGACATGTCATTATGGTGATACAAACAGCTATATCGTCAAACATTCACCCAGAAATTAGCCTACAACAAGTGCGCTGCAAGAACTTGGGTCTGACGTTCATAAAAGGGACGCTGCATCTGCATGCGAGCCGATCTCATTAACGACTTACCTAGTTCATCTCCATGACCCATTTGCGCCAAAACATACAATAATTCAGGCGTAAGTATTGATGGGATTCCTTTTAGTATAACCATTTCAAAACAGTGACAGAACCAAAACCACGAGCAAGTTTGTGGGCAGTCATGTGACCCTTTGAAGTATTTCAATTGGTTGCACGAAGAGCGACGTTTCTTCTAACGCAACCTGCGTTTCGAATACGCAATTTGCGTTTCTTTGCATACCTTTGTAGACAGTCCTTTTATTTTATTTCATCTGCTCAAGTAAAACTGGTTATTCATTTGCTTTCTCATTCTGAAACAGAATAAGACTCTTTATTTTCACCATTGTTTTGCATAAATTTGTTCGTTCGTGAATACTCAAACAAATGTTAGAGTCGTGCCTCTTTATATTTTCAGACTGGATGCATAGCCTATATAAAAATAAAAATTGCATTAAGTTGTCATACTCAGAGCGTTAAATTTAACTGGGGATCAAAATCTCCCTTGTGCGAGGAGGTAATGCACTCTATCGGTCGGTCTATAAAGTTTTTTTCTTTTTTATTAATTTACATTTAACAAATATATTAAATCGTCAATGAATAATTAACACACTGCTAAAATTAACAAATAACATCAATGGCATAAGCGCTCATTAATATTTAGGCTAATCTCTCTATAAATCTTGTAGTAGCCCATATAGGCATAATAACCGCTTATAGCAACAGGTGATTCCGAATTCATTATTTTAGCCTATGTCTCTGACGACAAAACCTTATTGTAAAGAAGCTTGATGTGAAACTTTAGTTAGAGTGAACTGTTGAGGAAAAAAATCCATGTCCATATCATCATCTGCAGTGACTGAACAGCATTTTTCTCGATGATTTTCAATGATCTCGTTTCTATAGGCCTATTTAAATGTTATATTCAATGTTAAATTGAATTCTTACACAATATCATGCTAAATATTAAGTAGGCTATAGGCCCTATGTAATCACATTTTATTGTCGGTAAATTTAAATTTGATTATACACAAGGCTGGAGATAATTCTTTTGTACATTTATTTGTGAGATGAAGAAGAAAAAAACATTAGCAAGCTAATTGAGCTTAAACTCGCCGTTTAAATGAAGAACGACACCTAGACGTGCAGCTGCTACTGATGGAGAGGAGCTGCCGGTGATGTGGTTGTAATTCAGGGAAATTTTCTCCAAAAGAGCTGTGTGGAGGCTTTGCAGCTGCGAAATGTAGAGTGTGGAAAGATGGAAGAAAAGACATTCGGAGGAGCCAAGACTGTCTGATCAGTTCAAAGCTCCTTTCTTTTACCGAGGAACCATGCTGCTCCCTCTTTGGTTCTGCTTTTTTAAATGAGTTTATCACGCTATGAGGAGCTGCCTTTGCCAAAATGTAACGTTTTGCCTCTTTTGTCTGCGCTGAGCGCCTCAATTCGGTCTACATTTATTATTTTGACCTTTCGTTAGCAGGGGATAGACTTCAAAGTGGAACCTCTCTTTTGCTGTCTTTAAGGAGACCTTTGTGCTGTTGCGGTATGTGGAGAGAAAGTTTTTTTCTCCTCTTTTAAAAGTTTTGTTCCAGGGGCTGAGAAGAAAGCTGGACTCCAAGGGAATATTGAATGAAAATTAAAATCAATTAGGCTATGGACTTTTGAGAGTGCTTGGAACGACGCCGTGCGAAGGAAAAAAAGATTTTTAAGTGAGAAAATGCACTGAGTTGATGTGCAATTGAGATGAATGGACTCGTCCTATAATTACATTTGCTGTGGTCCTTGACGCTGTATTTCACATAAAATGGTCAGTCTTTAATGCGTAAAACGGGTTGTAAATTCTCTAGTGCTTTTTAACCTGACAAGGGATTATGAAGCGACATTAGAAACTTTAGTTATTCATAAATAATTAATAAGTTTGAGTTTGGTTTAGAGTAATGACATTTTATAAATTGCCTTATAGTTTTATAAATAGGTTTACGTAAAACGAATAAATAGGTTTAAGTAAAACGAAAACAAAAAGCAAAGTATTAAGATAATCTTCATAAACGGGGGGAGCATATGAAAAATACAAATACAAATCATCGTCCTAAAATTTAATTTCAACACACTGGACATAGTGATAGGCCTATATTTAAGACACGTATGCTCGTCTGATTACGGACAAAAAGTTTAGGAAAAAAATAGTTTTTGCTAAGATACCTACGGTAATTCCTGTTGTTAGTCAATAAACAAACTTAATGCCGCAGGAAACCAAGCTATTTATAAAACTATAATTCGCGTCCCACAAAACATTATTTTGCACTCCATTAGAGACATTATTAATATAACATTGTTATAAAATAATTTTGAATTTATAGCAAATATATCATTTAAAGAATAGCCTACCGCCACAAAATTCCATTAGATCGACTTTATTATCCCACTGGTTACGCTGCAAGAGTGACTGAAAATACAGCCACAGCACCACCTAGAGTGCACAAAGTGTAATTGAACGATCTCACCTCATTTCCCAGTGAATGAGCCAAAGCAAGGCCAGATCAGCATTCAGTGACAAATCAGAGGATTTTTGCAAAATCTCGATCACAAACAATTTAAGAAGGCAATGACATTTCCCCTTTCAAAACTGCTCAAATGTAAACTACAATGCATTATTTAGTGTTTCATTACATACATGTTAATGTACTGGATCCCTTCATTTATGGTGTAGAAGCAAAGATTTAAAAGTGATAATACCAGACCATGATTGATACCCATATATTGATGTAACAGAAAATGTAAATGTAATGAGTCTAAACTCAGTGAACTACACGTATGCTCGTCTGACAGCCCAATTATAAATCTTGATGCTTTTTCATAAACACTTGATAGGAAAATTAAGGCAAATTTTATCACAATCTAAATATCACCATATTTCTCCACTGGAATTTTAATTGTCCTGGAAATCAGCCTTTCTCTTCTCAACAAAGGCAGTCATGCCCTCTTTTCTGTCCTCCTGAAAATGAGAAATTATTGCAAGTTCAAGACAGAAGAAATTTTTTCGCTAAAAAAAAAAAGAAAAGCAAATTAATGGAAGAAAAGTGACGCACCGTAGCAAAGGTTGCATGGAACAATCTTTTCTCAAGTCGATTGCCCTCAGCTAAAGTCAGTTCAAACGCTGTAAGAAAAGTTAGAAACGATCAGTTTCTAAATGGCTGCACAGGACTATTCAGTTTTCATGTGATGTCACCGCCAGTCATTTTTACCAGGTTTGTAGTAAGTACTCATGTAGTAAGACACTGTGATATTAAAAGACCAAATTCAATATACACCTTATTGATGATGCATAATTTGCACAGGCTGAACACAGAATATAAATGCATCACACAGTTTCTCATTAAAGGAGAACTCCGGCGAACAATGAACCTTCGGTCTAATAAAACATCGGTACCTAGTCAATCGTTCTGAGTTTTGTTTTCATGATAATCGAATGTAAAGAGTTTTATCTCTAAAAACTGTTTAGCGTATAATGCTAGTAATGGGGGCATTGAGTAATTAAAAAGAAATCGCTAGTTTATACCACTAACACGGCTCAAAATAGCCCCACACTCACACAGTAACATAATGAGGCTCCATACATACAAAACGAAGCATTGAGAACTTTGTAAGTGTACAGACCGTTTAATAAGAAGATACTTTATGAAGACAGTTCACTTCGCGTATACAGGCAGAAGCCATCTTAAAAAATAGTCTCGATAAGTCGATCCCCGAACGCCGTTCATACAGTTCAGAAGTTCGTTGAACTTCATAGAGTTCAGATCACTCAGCACGACGTTCGTGGTTTGACTTATCGAGACTATTTTTTAAGATGGCTCCTGTCTGTATACGCGAAGTGAACTGTCTTCATAAAGTATCTTCTTATTAAACGGTCTGTACACTTACAAAGTTCTCAATGCTTCGTTTTGTATGTATGGAGCCTTATTATGTTACTGTGTGAGTGTGGGGCTATTTTGAGCCTTGTTAGTGGTATAAACTAGCGATTTCTTTTTACTTACTCAATGCCCCCATTACTAGCATTATACGCTAAACAGTTTTTAGAGATTAAACTCTTTACATTCGATTATCATTAAAACAAATCTCAGAGAACGGTTGACTAGGTACCGATGTTTTATTAGACCAAAGGTTCATTGTTCGCCGGAGTTCTCCTTTAAAGCAGCACTTGTCGTTTTTTTCAACCTTTATAATATTTGTCCAAAACCCTTGAGATGGTACATTGACTTACAGTAGGTTGAATGACAGGTCTGCCATAACCTGACAGTGTCTGTATTGCTTTTACTGGCACTTTTTACTGGTTTTTCCCAATCAAAAACCATTAGAAAAGAAAATGCGCTGTCTGAGCTCATCTGCTTAACTGTATATAGTATGCATCATCAAAAAGGTGTAAACTGAATTTAATATTTTACCACTTTTGTAGTACATTAATGCACTTTAAGGTGGGTTGTACCAATAAGGCTTAAGCATCTCCTTAGCCTGGTGTCGGTTAGCGCTCAGCCATTGCTGCTTGATCAGCCCTTTAATTCTAGTGATTGAAGTACTGCAGCAGTTTCTGTATATGGATCACAAGTGCCCAAAACTTGCATCTTGATCACATATTTTTGTTTTTGAGATGAAAAATGGACAGGCTTGTGCAGTAGTTGTAACCCAGCAGGGCTACACGACAGGCATGTGACTGAAAACCATAAATATGCATTTTTTTAAAACCCAATTTGGATGCATGAACCTATTATTGAAAATAAGTGAACCTCGAATTATGAAACGAGCGCAGAATAAATTTCAACAACAAAAAAAAGCTTCTATCCAATTAATGAAACCCTCACCTGCATTAACAGCTTCCTTTGCCATAGCAGAGACAAGTTTGGAATTGCCAGCTATTTTCTCTCCACATTTGATTGCTTCTGAAACCAGCTGATCCACAGGAAATACTTTACTTACCAGACCTACAGAGACAAATACATTAGTCGACATATTGAATAGAGAGAAGAAAGAATCTGTAGAGCAACAGTTTGAAAGACAAACCAGAGAGTTTTGCTTCCTGAGCTGATATTCGGTCTCCTGTGAGAACCATCTCCATCGCAAGGGATTTTCCCACTGCTCTTGTAAGCCTCTGAGTGCCACCAGCACCTGGAGCCAAAGAAATCAGTGATCACAGCTAGCTCGTTGCCATTCACAATTATTCTGGAACAATCAATCCATCAACATAATCAAAAAGTGGGATGTGTTATTGTACCAGGAATGGTCCCGAGCAGGATTTCTGGCTGTCCAAACTGTGCCTTCTCCCCAGCATAGATTATGTCACACATCATGGCAAACTCACATCCTCCACCAAGCTGGAAAGGACAAGAACTTTATGTTTATGCTTGATTGGGAATTCAGATTCAAACAGGCTTTTTTAGTGATTAATTCATTTACCTACCGCAAACCCATTGACAGCAGCAATAACAGGCTTTTTGACTGTTGATATCCTGTTCCAATGTGCCAAGAAGTTTCCACCATAGCATTCTTGAAAGGTTCGATTCTGCATTTCTTTAATATCTGCTCCAGCTATCAAAGTAAAGGTGTCAATACAACATGCAATGAGTCTAAAGGAATTCAACATAACACACAACTAACTTTATTTACAGTTTCACACCTGCAAAGGCTTTTTCACTCCCTGTGACAACAATTGCTCCCACTTCACGGTCACCCTCGAAGGCATCAAGGGCTTTGCCCACCTCCATCATAAGCCCATCACAAAGAGCATTCAAGGCCTTTGGTCTATTGAGTTGGATGAAACCCACATTCTTCTTTTCACCCTTTTTGTCAACCACTATGTACTGATACTGGCCACCTGCAAAAGAGATGAGGGCAGGGGTCAAATTAGCTCAACGCATTTTTTGAATGATTAAAACAGAATTGATTTGTCAAATACATCACCTCTTTATTATATTTACACTCCTATTCTTATTTTAAAATGTTTCAATGGTAAACAAGCACACAGAAGGGCAGCAGCAGCTTCCATAAAGGTCGGTGTTTCCATTATACAGTTGCAGGTACAAAAACAGTCAGGAGCAGTCAAATGACGCAAGTTTCCAAACAAAGCAAAACTCGACGCTGACACTGAAAAGGAAGGCATAACTTTTAAGTAGACATGGTTCCTGTTACCTGAACTACATTGCCTGGTCGCTGCTAAAGCAGAGGGAAGCAGTTTACTGTTTTTGAGAAGTAACCCTGTGCATCTGCAGAGCGCCATGTCTGCGAGGTCAATGGTAACGGTACGACGTCGCTGAAGCCGCGGCACGTTGATTGGCTTTCAAGTGTGATGTCACGTCGTAATCAAGTTGCCAGATATTGTGTTATGAAATCCCTCTTCCGTTGTCGTTTTCCCACTGATTACAGAGAGTGATTTTTTTACGTCTTTTATTTGATTGGATTTTATAGAATTTGACAGAAATCCATTTAGACAAAGAATAGTCACAGACAAAAAAAAATAGACAAAAATCCATTTTGTTTAGGATTTTATAGAAACCACTTCAAAAAGGAATTTATCATATTTCCTTAGTGTTAAAACAAAACGTATTCCAAACAAATATCTGTGTACAAACTAGTGTTATGTTTTCCGTTTACTCCCTGTTTAAAACTTTGATCAGTTAGTATAACAAGGATTAGATGGAAAATAATGGCAACAACGTATGGCACGTTTTTGGGACTATATCTCCATCTATTGGTCACTTTTGTGAATGAACTCCACATTGAGCAAAAAGTAGGATACTGTCGTTTGTATTGCCCGATTACGAGATATCTTGTCACAATGAATGATCTGATTCTGAGGGTCATGCTAATTATGGTCTCAGAAAACGTTATACTAAATTGTAGTCAAGAATTTGTATTAATTATATCAATTCTTGATATATTTTTAGATGAAACCAGGCTTCAGAGGATGCTTTATTCTTTCAATATACAGCATTTACACAGTTTGATGCTGTGTATGATCTTCAGTTTTGTTTGAATGGGCAAACTTCCAAGCAGTTTTAAAGAACCTTTATGTTAAGTGCTTAACACATTAAATTACTTCAAAGTCTGTAAGGGTTGATTTATTGTTCTGTGAATCAGTTAGAAAAGCAGTGAAACTCATGAAGGTTACAAAAGTCATGAAATAACGAAATCTTGCACACACAATGCACAATGATGCAATCAAGTATCAACAGTTTATCCAGATAGCAATGTCAAAATGGTATTAATCATTTTGGTATATTTTTAGGTATTTGTAATGCACATTTTTTTTCAGTCAATACTCAATAGTTAACTCTTTAGTATTAACTCTGATACATATATATCAGCATATTTACAGGGTATTCTAGAGGGCAAATATGTAGTACCTTGGCAAATTATAAGTTTCATTGTTTGTTTTATTTGATTTATTTCAATTACAACACTTTCTTTAATCACACACAAAAAGTGCATTATATTACAAAAAAAGAAAAGAAAAAACATTTACCTTGAAAAGTGCAACTCAAAATTTAAGTCTGTTGGTGCAAGTCATTAGTAAGAATTACATTTTAGATTCCAAACACCAACAGTGTATTTCAATAGGCACATTTCTGATAAATACCAAGTTTTGAAAGCACACTAAACTAACTCTTCAGGTATTGATTTTAACTCATGAAAATGACTGTACGACTACATCCAACATCACAAACTAGCTCTAAATAATGGGCCACATTAGAAACAATCATACAATCAATAAATAAAAGAACTGGTGTATTAGGGTCTAAAAGCAAAGCTCTGAATATCCCAAAGAGGTTAAAAAACAAACAAAAAAACACACAAAAAAAACACATACCATGCTACCAAGAATAGGTAACCAGTGAACACTCCAACTAAATAACACATACACAATCAAACACTCTCTTTAGTGTCTAGACATTATTGCAGTAGCAAAAAAACATAAAAAATGAAGCATATAGAGGCCCTGTTCAGTATATGTACATCCAAAATTCGAAGGCTTCATTAGAATAGTTTACAACAAAGACATTCATTTTGAACTCTCATAAATGTGAACCAGTTTGAAAGATTGTTCATTTATTTTGAGATACAAGACAAGAAACATCAATGGAAATGGAAGCATTAGAACTTGCATCTGTAATAGGAAATATTAGAAGGATCATAGGGAGTCTGATCACTTTGGATAACAGTGTCTGCCAAATACATTAACAAAATCTATACTAAGGTTTCTCACAGCAGTCAACACTTTCCACTCTCCTTATATGCCCTTAGTCACCTGTTATTTTTGTAAATACAAATTCTCCCTCCCCATTTGTAATTTCACACACTCACTGTTCAGAGACCAAACAATGCTCAAAATGGTCAACATTAAAACAGCACCAGACAAAATGAAGCAACTTGCAGCAGTTAAATAGCAATACTGTTAGGTGTATCGTCTTGGTCCTGATGACCAGGTTGCTAGATGTGTCATATTAAAGTGTGTTTGACCGATTCTCATTAAATAAACACATGAATGGTTGCAGAGAAAATCGGCCAAGATTTTCAGAGTGTAAAAACGGCCTACTTCACATAAAATGTTCAATAAGTTATTAAGCTGGAGTTTTCTATCAGGAGTACCTACTCAACACATTAAGAATCTTTAATTGAACAGTTCCCTATCGCAGTCGATAAATATTCGAACCCAAACACTGATGTGAGCAGATTCTGTTTCTGGCTGGTCTTAAGTACTCTCTGGCAAATAATAGCATTATTCCATCACATGAAATTCAGTCAAGTAGATCAGCCAGTAAATTCAACAAAAAAAGCAGCCCTTCAACTTCATTCATCACTGCCTCGGTTTCCATGTGTTCCAGGACACAAAGAGTAAGTATAATATTATGAAATATTACAATACTGAATAGATGCTGAGTGGTGAGAAGCATAGCCAGCTTCTTCAAATGTAGAACAGGGCACATTTATCAACACAACAGTTGACATGACCGTAGTCCTACACACACTACCATTCAAAAATTCATTACGGTTTTGTTTTTAAGAAATGAATTCTTTAATTTCGCAATGATGCATTAAATTGATCAAAAATGACAGTTAAGACAGATGTGATAACACTTTACTTGTGTGCATAAGACTGACATGACACCCTCATAACCATGACATATGTCTTGAATTTAAAGTAGGGTTTATGCATGTTTGTGACAACTGTCATTAAGTGTCTTTCGCTTAATAATGACATTTGTATGCAAATATGACATTGTTTAAGATGTCTTTGTAATGACATGTTGACATAGCATCATAACCTGTCAGTGTCTTTGTCGTGACAACTTGACATAAAATTAAGTTAAACTGTCATGTGGTTGGCTTTGACATTGGCTGTCATGAGGCCGTTATAACTTTGTCATGAATATTTTTTGTGACCTACTAATTGAATTTGTCATTAAAAGTTATAATGGCTTCATGACAGCCAATGTCAAAACCAACTACACAGATTACACAGTTTAATGTAATGTTAACCAATAAAGCTAGGTTGGTTTCTTAAGTTTGATAATTAATCTGCTATGTCATGTTTATGACAGGTTGTGTTGTCTTAGTAATGTCAAGCTGTCATGACAAAGACACTGACAGGTTATGATGTATTGGTTTATGTCAAGGTGTCATAACAAAGACATCTCAAACTATGTCATATTTGCATTAAAAATGTCATAACTGAGCGAACGACACTTAATGACAGTTGTCTTCATATTCATAACATATGTCATGATTATGAAGGTGTCATGTTAGTCTTATGCACACCCCTTCAAGTAAAGTGTTACCAAAGATGTATATTTCAAATAAAAAAAATATGAAGTAGCACAATTGTTTTCTACATTGATTATAATAAGAAATGTTTTTTGAGCACCAAATCATTATATTAAAATGATTTCTGAAGGATCATGTGACACTGAAGACTGGAGTAATGTTTGCTGAAAATTCATCGTTACAATTACAGGAAGACATTACATATATGTATGATCACATAAACAGCCTTTTGAATGGTAGTTTATGCATGTCATGCAAATGAATGCAAATCAAGAATCGTTTCGCAGGTATTGTAATGTAATGTAATTAGTAGCAATAATAATAACTGATATCACACTAATTCAGTCCTACATGTGGAGGTGGAGCAGAAGAGAATAGCATTGTAGGTGTGTAGGGTAGAGGGGCAAAAAGCATTGCTGAACACAGGAAAAATGCTGACTCTTTTCTGTGTTTATATTTATAGTGACACAAGGAGTAGGAATGAGGAGGAGGGGGGAATATATGGGGTTTTTTTCTGTGAGGACACTCACTTTACATCCACAGCTAAGCAAATGAAGCCTATGAGTGGATGACAGTACATTCAAGACACAATTAAGCCCTGTTATTTCTGCTCCCTCAACTTTTAAGATGTGCTTTACAATAAAGCGTAAACAGACAAGTGGCCTTTTTTCTTTTTTTTTTTTCTGAGCAAAAATCACTGCACTGAAGTCATTACTCTAAAAAAACAATCTACACATCTGTGTCCAAAAGCGGTAATTTGTCAGGTTTTACATTATACAGTCGTTCTTAAATACTGTGCTGGCTTGGAAGAGAATGACTGGATGATCAAATTTCAGTCCTTCATTCCCCAAAATAAAAACTTCCTCTTAACCTCAAGTAAAAAAAAAAAAAAAGTGACATTCTACAAAATTTCAATGCGACGTATTATATTTCCCAAAAATGAATAGTTGCAATGAATAGATACAGGAGGGGAAATGTATGCTATTTAAATATGTCTGCCATACACCCGGCTACACAATTTGGAGATCAAATAACATCTTCCTTACAAAACAATAAAAATGACTGAGTTTAATTAACCCAGATGGAATGGCAAATGCTGAATCTGAGCTCTTGTATTTTAGCAGCCAAAGTTTGTCAAGACAGCCCATCTAATAATAATAGAGCATTTTTGTCATCAGAATAAAATGTAAAGTAAATCAACTTTATCTGATTTCCTGAGTTTTGGATCATTTTGAAACTACACTGCTAGACTACATTGGCAGTGTCTATTGAGAGCAGCTAAATCCTAGTGGAGTATGGTATTGCCACAGAGTCAATATCAAAGTGTGCAATCCCTGAAAAATGACCAAAGCTAAACAAATAAACTACAATGTGAAGCAAGGACACTGGAAAACACACATTTGACAATGCAACCATTCACCAACCTGTTATGATACAATACTCAGAAATCACTCCAATGAGAGGTAAGAGGGCAAAAGTAGTGAAAATGCAGATGCTGTTGATGTCTTTGTGTGAGCTGCGGCCCAGAGGCCTGTGGCAAATGCACAGGTGCGCGAGTTCACCTGTGAGAAGTCCTTTCTGGAGCGTGTTCAGGCGTGCTTGCTTAGCCAAGCTTGGTGATCTGAAGACTCCCAACTATCCGGATCACGTTAATGGCCAGCAAAGACTTTACTTTGTGATAAAAGTCAAACAGCTGGTGTCCATCCACAAAGATCCTAAAACGCTGGTGCTCACAATGGATCTCAATCTGTACAATTGGGGAAAGGAGAGGGGAGAAAGAGTGAAATAAGATCAAATCAAAAGAATCCTTTGTCAGTTACTGAGACACATTGTGGACAGTGTGTTGAAAGGAAATGCTTGTCTGCATGACTGCTTATCTCAGCTCAACATTTGGAAACAGTGACCCATTTTTTTGGTTCGCCTTCAGTCCCAAATACAAACAATAAGCGCTCATTATCTTCCAGTATCTTTACTCACTTTGGTCGTACAACTCTCTGCCATAAGAATAATTCTGTAATTGCCTATTATAAAGGAATAAACCCACATGAAAAAGTAGGCATTCTTTCAGGGAAAAAAAAAACAATATTGTAGTCTGTAAGATTTTTTTAATGTTTTTGAATGAACTCTGTTATGCTTGTCAAATTGATTGGATTGGATTGATTGATTTTTATTTAAAAGGGACCATGTGCAATTAATAACATAAATGTAAACATTTGATGCATTACACCAGAGTTAGCCTTAGGCTAATTTACATCTGCAGTCCCCCGGCACAAATAAATACAGATACATACAACACAGATTAAAATATCAACATTATTATTATAAAGCTGTGTTTATTTGTGAAATATTATTATTAATAAAAATAACTTATTTCTATGATTTCTAATTCTATATATTTTAAAATGTTGTTTATTCTTGGATGGCAAAGCTGAATTTTCATCAGTCATTGCTCCAGTCTTCAGTGTCACATTATCCTTCAGAAATCATTCTGATATCCTGATTTGGAGCTCAAGAAACATTTCTTATTATTAATGTTGAAAGCAGTTGCGCTGCTTAGTATATTTTGGAAGCCATGATACGTTTTAACGATATTTTGATGAATATAAAGTTTAAAATAACAGCATATATTTGAAATAAAACTAGTTTCCTGACACGTTTGATCAATTGAATGCATTCTAAAAAACCTAATAAACCCAGACTTTTGAACAGTAATGTGTGTGTGTGTGTGTGTGTATACTGTATACACACACAAAAACAAAAGCTACCCAAAATATTGTGCATATATGCATTTAATTCTACTCTTGTAAGTATTGTTTTTAAAGGAAAATAATTTTAAAATCCTTTGATGTAGCTTGCTTTGAATTAATAATATATAATCTCAAACACAAGGAGAAAAAGGAGGGGAAAGTAGGTTTTGCCTCTTCTTTTCAGAAGTCTACTACATGCCACTGCTTTAGACATCACATTATAGTGAGCTACTGCTTTAGACATCACATTACAGTGTCTGAAGGAGGTACAGCATACATACAACATCTATATCTGTTAAGTCTGACTGACTGGGCAAGGAGGAAGCTGCCCACGGTTTTGGACATAGACCTGAACTCATGCTTTGTGCAGATTAGAGATCTCAGATTAGAGAACATGTACATGTCAGTGTTTCAGATCATTACCCTGAAAGGCTGGTCCGGGATGAAGGGAAAGTAAGATATGGGTGCCTCCTCATCACTCCATTTCCCACAGACTCTGGCGTTCCTCAGGAACTGCCTTTCAGTGAATCGCGCGCTGAGTTTAAGGGCCACATCAGTGAGCTCTTCATCATCTTTCTTCTCACTGTGGTCACAGTTCAAACTGATGTCAAAGCTGTGAAAAACAAAACATTAGGCATGTAAACAGCTGTTTGTCACTTCTACATCTAAAGTTATCTATCTTCTGTTTTCAATATGTATTCATCCTTACTAGTAATATGTTCAGTATGTCAGCATAACCATATGACTTGCCGTTAGTGTTAATAAAAATATGACAAGTGTTGCATGATGAAGCAACTGTGTGCTAATGTGCCAAATATTACAGAAAAATTTTATGAATCCATTTTACATGAATTCACAGTGATTCAGGCCTGCGTTGGCAGCCATTATCACACTAACTGAGCCTTACAGAGCATTCCTAATGGATCAACAGGCTGTTTACAAAGGCTAAATTCCTGAGCTGAAATTACACATTAGTATCACTTAACCATTTATATATCAGAACCATAATGTGCAATTTAGTTAAAAAGCTACATAATTACAATATAAAGACTACAGCATCAAGATAAACCACTCAATCCAGAAACCCTCATGCCAGGAACTATACTCTTAAAAAAAAATGACCAGCGCATTCAACTACTACAGCTAAACTGGTAGAGGGAAATAGACCCTGGACACAATGCAAATTACTTCGGATTAAAGTGTCAGCCAAATGAATAAATGTAAAGTGCTACAAAAAGCCTTTGATACTATTATTTAACAAATATTAAACAAATAAACTATCATTTAAAAGTTCAGTCAGTAAGATTAAAAAATAATAAATGAATAGGTTTATTCAGCAAGGGTGCAGTAAATTAATCAAAAGTGTCAGTAAAGACATTTATGTTTTGTGGAAACCATAATACAACTGTTTAAAACATGGATAATAATAAGAAACGTTTCTTGAGCAGCAAATCAGCATATTAGAATGATTTCTGAAGGATTGTGTGACACTGAAGACTGTAATAAGACATAGTAATGATTGTAAAAATCCAGCTTTGGCATCAAAGGAATAAATCACATTTTAAAATTAATTAAATTAGACATCAGATATTTTAAATTATAATATAATAATATTTTACAATATTTCGGTTTTACTGTATTTTTTTTTTATCAAATAAATGCAGCCTTGGTAAGAGTAAAAGACTTTCTTTCAATTACATTAAAATCTAAAAAAAATCTCATCTATCCCACACTTTTAAACAGTACTAGTCTGTTATAACACAAAATAGTGTACATTTATAAATAGTATATCACAAATGTATAATTCCAGCCTTGCCCATAATTAGAGGTTTTAACATTGTATATGCCCGTTAGTGCATTTACTGTAAAGATTCCTTCCTTATTATTATACCTGCATGCTTAATTTAATTAATATATATATACATGCATGTGTGTGTGTGTGTGTAATATATAGTCATACAAACTGAACATTTGGCTGAATAACACCCTTGTGATTTACCTCTGATTATTTGCATCAGCATACTAAAACGTTTCCAAGACACACCCAATGCTCTCACAGTTTTGACATTTGTTTCCTTAACAGCTAATATTAAACACCCATCAACCCTAAACAGTGCACACACCCATGCATTGCATTTCTTGAGCAGATCTACAACCCAAAGCTGTACTCAAAACATAGTGCTGCCAATCTGGACAGCAAGAATGAATGAATGAATGAACGAACGAACGAATGAATGAGGCATTTATATAGCGCTTTCATATACTAGGCTACTGTACACCCCCAATGATCTTTATGTACATATGGGCCCATGACGCCCAAAAAAATAAAATGCTAATTAGGTTAAAAAAAATAGCTTACAAGGTTTTGAGACAGAGCTTGTGTCTGATGTAACTATTTACTAATTCTAGAATATAAAGTCTTAATTATACATTATCTTAAAACTGTTTTGAAACAAAATCTATGTTAAAAAGCACAATACAAATAAATTTAAAAGGAAACATACCTGTCTGGCTCTGGATCAATGATGCCCATTATAATGATCTTCTTCCCAGGCCTCATCCCACCTCTGATCCGTCCACTGAAAGGAACTGTCTGGTATATCAGAAATAGGGAAAAACATCAATGTCACATAAACTAAGTTACAGCATAACCACAACTGCTTTTAAACATTACTTTACCAGAATACGAGAGATGTCTTCTTTATCAGGGGAGATAAGACCTGCATCTCCGAATGAATTATTAAGGTGAAGATCATCTTCGGTGTTCTTCAAATAAGAAAGAGATGATTTACAAGTTTAAAAGGCACTTAAAGATGCAGAATGAAATACAACGTTAGCGCGCAATGCCCATACACATGCAGGTTTTAACAATAAAACGACACGCCTTCACTGCATCTGTAGCATACTTCATCTTTTTTTAACACAACATGAGCACCAAATGCACCAAAGCTAAAATAATGCTCGAAAGATTATTTGTCAATTGCGATCTACCACGTATGCACTGCAATTTACACAAACTCACTATGATTTTGTTCAACTGGGTATGAGAGAGGACGGTCATCTCTCATGATGCACACAGATTTCCACTGCGCTTCGTATTAAATATACACTTATTAACTACAATGGCTACGTTATAAGAAACTGAAGCAGTGTAAGATCTTAGAGGTATTTGTGACTTACTATCGCGTCCTTTTCCATGCTCGCCACCGCCATCTTGAACAAAATACCATAGGATGCTTATCAAAGGCGGTCCAGTTTAGGAATCTGTCAGTGTCGTGGCAGACTGGGCAGGGAGCTGCAAGGTGTCTAAGTTCAAGAAGAAAATTATAAAACAAAGACAAATTCTCTGAACGATTTAAGAAGCAACTCTATTGTCTACACTTGAGAAAGAAATATGCTGACGCGGATTATCATACGGGTGGAGATTAATCCAGCCTCCATATGAACCTAATCTGCCCAGATCTCATTGGATCATCTGAGCATACCAGCAAAATAATTAGAGGCCACATTTTACTACTTTTGTATTTTTAAACATGGCAGTTTGCTTGTGTAAACGTTCTGACTATATTTGTACAATTGTTTGTAGCTAACTCAGAATTGTTTAAATATGGATTTAATAATTCTCGGTAGTTAAACACAATCTGTGTATTGCATTTTTTGTTGGTTATGGCGTTTTGTTGGTTAATTTTGAGAGAAAGAATTGACATTGTTCCAGTCGTAGACTCTTTCCAGTGTGTTTCTGATCTTTGAAATGTGTGCTCCCTCATTGAGCGAGCAGAGGGAGACCCCTAGTGGCACGAGTGACTAATGGCACCTAGTGGCAGTAGTGTTTGTTTTTGGAAACTCTTACGTTTATGTAAATCTGTAAAATCTATAAAATAGGTTTAATGGAAATAAATATGGAGATAATATACATCAATAAGTAAAATGACCATTTATGTACAGCGACTGACAGTTTTTGTGATTTAAGTACAATGTGAATGTTCTTTGTTGTGCTCTGAATCCTATTTAAAAAAGTAATAATCATAATAATAATAATGATGTTTTCATTTACTGGTTATTACACAGTTAGTCTTGTCAAGATGGGTATATAGCTCAAGTGTCTGAATTAATATGAATCAAGCACCATGATCATAAAAACATACTTTCCTTTACAGCTCAATGGCTATAGTGCCTAAAGTCAGAACACATGGCTAATTTTAAATGGCCGTCAATGAATAAAGATGCTTTTCAGTAGCAGTTGCTGCAGTTTCAGTGACTACCAGCAGAGGCAAACAGGAATCTGCTAACTTGGTTGAAAGAATCTTTCTTTCTTTCTTCCTTTTTTTCTTTCTTTCTTTTCTTTTTTCTTTCTTAGGATTATTATTTTTTACTTTATTTTATTTTTTATTTAATTGAATTTAATGTTGTTTTATCATATATATATATATATATATATATATATATATACATATATATATTACTTTATTTAAATTTTAATTTAATGTTATGTTTATATATATATATATATATATATATATATATATATATATATATATATATATACAGTATATATGAAGAGTTCAGATGCAAAAGCCTCTAAATGCCATTTGAAATTTTCTTCTTTAATGATGATTTTTATCAAACTTGTATATTTAAGTTCAGTAATTTCACTTAAATAACAATTAATAGAATTATCAATCATTGCCATTTAAGTGAAATTACTGAACGCAAATATACAAGCTTGATAAAAAATGATCATTCTAGAAGAAAATTTCAAATGGCACTTAGAGGCTTTTGCATCTGAACTCTTCATATATATATATATATATATATTATTTTTTTTTTTTTTTGAGCAGCATGCATCATGTGCCTTAATGAATATTCTTCAATAACAAAGTGTGGACCTCTGGGTGACAGCAAAAGGCTTCATGCACTGTGGCCCGCTCTGTCCAGAAGTGTATTTGAGCATGCAAATTTAATAAGTGTTTATTTAGCAAGGCCAGGCTGTAATTAGGTTAATGCTGCAGTCGCTCTGCACTGCTCTTCCACAGCTCCATTCTCCTCAACTGCTCAGGCGGAAAGCACCACAGACGGACCTGGCACTGCCCGCCATGCTCCGATCAGCCCTTGGGCCTGCTGGACACCTCGCCCACCTGCCTCACATGATGCCAATGTCCAAACGTCTAACTGACACCAACCGTCACCTGCTAATAACTGCAGCTGTTGGATATCTGAAAGAGTTTGGGGCATTAAAGTTACAGACATTTCTAATAAATGTAGAATCAATATATTGCAATCTGTCTCTTTTTCACTGTCTCTCTCCCTCACTCAATATGGCTTATTGTGTGTTTTTGTGAATGTCAAGCTCCCACACACTTCCTCACACCCACTCCCTCCATGCAGCAGCTGTGTGTGGTCTGTGTCTTACTTCCTGTTCTGGCTCTTCACTCAGGGCCTTTCCCCTTAACACACACACACACACACACACACATATACAAGATCACATGAACTTATAGTCACATGAATGCCCACTACATCACAAACACATTCACAGCAACGCACTACTGTAAAAAGCTGTCGACCATATTGATCTGAATACGGTGTCTGACAGTGAATTCCCTGTGTTATGCAATAGGTTTAAAAGATCCAGCAAATGTGAGAATCTTGGCTCCATCCTTTAGGGCTCAGCGTCCTTCATAATAATTAACTCTCACTGACCTTTGATACAGATGTAACCTGGCATAAGCTCACTGTTATACAGTGCAAACTTTGATTCTAGTGAAACTTCTTAGCTCCGGTCTTTATCCATCCTTATTTTAATTCACAGTCCTTGTTTGTTTTAAAAACATTTCTTAATAATTTAAATATATTAAAATATACATTTATTCAAGTCAAGTATATTATTTAATGCAGCTGAATCATATTAAATAATTTTATTAAATGTACTGAATTTTACACAGAAACAACTGCAAGCTTTTTTTTTTTTTTTTTTTGATATTGCATTATATAATAAAATTATAATAAATATTTTACAGGGAAATCAATGCATTATTGTAACACTTACTTTGTGAAACAAAATAATCAAAAATACCCTGGTTGTTTGATGATGGATGATCCTTGCTTTGTAAAATCCCACAATGGGACAATTCTAGTACTGTATCTGCATGATACAATACTAGAATTAGGTGGTGGTGATGGCGCAGTGGATAAGACACATGCCTTTGGTTTGAAAGACCTGGGTTTGAAACCACTGTGAGACACCAATGTTTCCCTGAGCAAGACACTTAAGCCCTAGTTGCTCCAGAGCCGTGCGACCTCTGACATATATAGCAATTGTACGTTGCATTGGATAAAAGCATCAGCTAAATGAATAAATGTAGATGTTGATATTAAATTGGTCACACTTTAGGTCAAATTTTCACTATTAACTAATATATTTTCCTCAATAAACTCCTAATTACTGCTTATTAATTAGTAGTAATGTAGTTGTTAAGTTTAGGTATAGAATGTGGTCATGCAGAATAAGGCATTTATATGTGCTTTATAAACAGCCATTATGCTATAGCATGCTAATCAACAACTAGTTAATGAGAATTGGAACCGAAACTAAAGTGTTACCATTAAGTCAAGGCAAATGAGGCAACAAGGCAAATTGGGAGAATACAATTGGTTTAGGCTACTGGATAACTCCAAGTCACAGAAGCCTAATCAACTTTAAATCCATCCTTATAATGTGACAGTTTAACCTATGTATTTATATTACAGTTTTTCTCGATTGTTTACACACATTTTCTGAAAGAATGCCTCATATTCTCAGAACTCTACACACAAATCTAAAAGCACACACACAATTGGCAAAACCCCTCAATTCTCCTGCAAAATGAAACTTTACATTCAAAACAATGTTATTTCTTCTCAAAATGGTATTTTGTTTTCAAATGACACACACAAACCATCATATGAATAGACATTTATAAGAACCAGTTGAACACTGATGTGCTCAATGTAAAACACTATGATGAATGGAAAACACTTCTTCTCCATTCATCATAATGACTTAGGCCTTTTTTGTTTAGTGTTACACTTACTACAGACATTACATACATAAGTGTGTTGTAAAATATTTGAGAATATTGTTTTTTAGACCCAGAACACACAAATACACGGTAACAAATATATTTTATTTTTCCCACAAAATCAATGGGAGATAGATCCCACATTTTGTACACCCCAACCAACACAAAGTTGCACATACAGTGGTCTACATACAAAACAACAGAATTTTTATGCTGTTACAGTAAAAAAAGAAATAAAAAAAATCTATGCTGCATCCTATCTTTGGTTTTGGTATTTTATGCTAAAGCTCTGATCACTAATTGTAAAACTGTGTGACGGGTGTTTGCCCATGTGACGAGTCAGTGTGAATATTTGAATGGCAGTGTGTTCCTCATGAAAACAAGAGATTTTCTGCATGAAAACTGTGCCAAATGCAGAGAATTGTGTGTAGTGTTTTGAAAAACGTGTGTTTTAGAACTGCAATTTGAGTGTAAAGCAGGAATTGTGCTTGTAGTTCAGTAGAATTGGCTCAGGGGGTTGGTGAATGAGTTACATGTTGTGGTCATTGTGTCTCAAGTACCAGAAAATGTGTGTAAACAATCGAGAAAAACTGTAGTATTAGTATTAGTTAGTATTAGTATTAGGCCTAACGTTACTTTCTGCAGACAGATAGATGTGTGTATTTACAGAAGGGCTGAATGATGGACTGTTTGTAGCTGTAATCAATTTGTAATATCTGTAACAGGGACACTGTAAGTAAGTGTTACCATATATTCTTCAGAGGAGGGGTGAAGATGCTGCTGTAGTGCACACAATTCAAATTCCAGCCAGCGGGGGCAGTTATGGGCTGGTGTGTGTGTGTGTTACATAAACGTGCAACTGCTTGTGTGCCTGCTGAGCTGGGCTTGTGGTTGGCGGAGAGTAGGTGTGGCTTATTTTCCTCCGTGGCCACAGCAGAACAAGATCATTCAGATATTTGCACAAAGCCAACCTGACAGGGAGAAGGGGGAGGAGAGAGAGAAAGAGTGAGCGAGTGAGAGAGAGAGAAAGCGCGCAAGGCTTCTGCAGTCTCTCTCGTTCTTCTCTCCCCCCTCTCTCTCTCTCTCTACCTCTACAGAAACAAGGAAGACTGTCTACTTTATGCCCTGTGAACTGAGCAGAATCAAATTAGAACTGCAGCTGCATGGGAAATATTTCTATTGCTCATTTGGTTTAAAGGGATAGTTCGAACACAAATAAATATTCACTTATCATTTACTTCATGTGGTTCCAAGTGAATTTAGGATATTGTCAAAGCTACTCTTTTTCCAAACGGTGAAAGTGGATGAAGACTAGGGACAGCTGAGGTTAATTAAAGCTCACAGTAAAATAATTTGGATTATTTCGACCCTGATGGCCTTTCGGACAGGTGTCAACTCAACTGTCACAAAAAAGAGTTAAAAATCAGCACAACATTATCACCTGAAATTAATTCTCACAAGTCCAACTCTATCGCCTGGTTCAACCAGAAGCCAGGCTACTCAATCACAGGGTGAGCTCCAAGAAAGAGAGTCTGATTGATATGGATGTCAAAATATTCGAGCAAAAAACAACAACAATGCATTGTGTAACAATTCATCGTGAACTCTGAAGATAGCCATGTGTTGAAACGTTTGCTCCTGTTCATTTGTTTTTAATTCACTTGTCACTTTTTGCACTATATATAATCCAGGAAAAAAAAATACAATTTTGATAGACTTCTGTAGTCTGTACTGAATTCAGAGTGCGGCAAGCTACCGTATTGTTTGTTTAGAAAGTCTTCTAAAATTGAATGTTAATTTAAATTCAACTAAACGGTTTCAAGCATTAAAAAACATTAAGGCACTATCTGTCAGTCATTTTGAGTGCCTAATGTGTATATTCATATATATCTTTAAATGACAGAAGTTAATGAAACTGCAAAAACTGCAGGACCTTTCTGATTCATTCTTTTTTTTCTTCTTTGGTTTGACCCATTCCTTCACATGGATGAAAGTGGGCCAACAAAGAACATTGTAGGGAAAGGACGCATACCAACCACAGCAAATTAGTCAGCTTTATGAAACAGGCCCCATAACGCTTACTGGAAACAATACAGTATGAGAAGGCAAATATTTCACCCGCTATCTGCATGTGAAACATGAAACTTGTTAGAAGCTTGACTATAGAGGGATGTAAAGTGAAAACAAGCCCTGACTGACAGCGCAGGATTAAGATCATTTCCAGGGCCTACTGACTTGTTTTAGATAAAGAAAAACAAATAGTAAAGGAGAGATGGTCAGCGTGAGTGATACAGATGACACACTGACTCACCACTCTCATAAAAAGCCACATGATCCATAGGAAGAAAACATCTTTGCTGACCTGAGATCAGTTCAGCTGTTTTGAGCTGGCCATCCCCCTACAGTTCACACACACACACTGCCACGTGCTAAAACTGTCCTTGCTACACAGCTGTGTGGCCCCAATACTGGAAATAGATTCCTGCTACCAGGCCATGAGTCATAGGTGCAAAATGGAGGCAACTGTTGATGCAGAGAAATGTCTGCCGTTTCATCCACAGCAGCAGAGTGACTCAGAAATTATATACCTTAAAGGGTTAGTTCACCTAAAAATGGAAATTATGTCATTAATGACCACCCTCAGAAGAAAAGGTTCTATATAGAACCTTAAAAGGTTCCATCAGTGCTGTATTTGGAACCCCTAAAAGGTTCTCTACAGAACCCTTTTTAAGGGTTCAATAATAAGAACCCTTTATTATTGAACCCTTTCCTGGTTCTTTGTAACCAGGAAAAATGTTCTATATGGAACCAAAAGGGTTCTTTCTTGTCATTATAGAACCTTTTTAAGCATAAAAGGTTCTTTGGAGTTGAGTAAAGAACCCTATGATTCATATATAGAACCCCAATGAACAGTGCATCATCCCAAGCCCGTAAGACCTCTGTTCATCGTCAGTATACTGTCCTTGTCCAGAAAGGAAATAAAGACATCATCAAAGTAGTCCATGTGACATCAGTGGGTTAGTTAGAATGTTATGAAGATATCGAAAATATATTTTTGTCCAAAAATAACAAAAACTATGACTTAATTCCGCATTCTGTTGTCTTTCGGTTCTGTTGTCAATCCGCGTTAATTTGACGTGTAGCTGGTGCGTCCATGTATTCGGGTTCAAATAAATATGGCTGAGCAAAAAAATTTAAGTCTTCCTCTGTGTCGAAATCCTTAGACATGTTTGCGAAGATTGTTTTGTTAACAGCGTAGACAAACTATTCCATAGTTTTGTCACCCTCAGACAGTAAACGTAGCTCGGGCGCACAGATAACACATCAGCAGCGTCTTACGTCATCAGCGTCACTGAACGCGGATTGACAACAGAACCGGAAGAAAATAGAATTCTGAATAAAGTCGTAGTTTTTGTTATTTTTGGACCAAAATGTATTTGCAATGCTTCAAAACATTCTAACTAACCCACTGATGTCACATGGACTACTTTGATGATGTCTTTATTTCTTTTCTGGACAAGGACAGTATACCGTACATACATTTTCAATGGAGAGACAGAAAACTCTCAGACTAAATGTAAAATATCTTAAACTTTGTTCTGAAGATGAACGGAGGTCTTGAGGGTGAGTCAACATGAGGACAACATGAGGGTGAGTCAATAATGACAATTTTCATTTTTGGGTTTACTAACCCTTTAAAATGTCCAGTTGTCTAACAAAACAAACCAACAGAGAAAACAAACACAGAATGTCATTTTTATCCGTTTATTGTATGATATAAAACTAGAAAAGTAAGACTGTTTCAAATTCATAGACACATGTCCATATTTAATATATATTTTACAGTCCACACATTGATGCAAATACAGTGATCATCAGTTGATGGGTTATTTTTCCTCAAAATGAATGTGTCTGTAATATTGCATAGAACAAGGCACAGCTCAAAGGCCTGAAGATACGGCCTTTCTTAATGAGCAGAAAAAGGGTTTAGACCCTCCACCAGATTTTGTCTTTCTATTTCTCTCTCTCACACACACACACACACACAAACAAACAAACAAACACACACACACACACGAATAATCCCAGTGGTGACTATCCTGAAACCACTTTAAACTTCCCCGAATGTATGGCCTGAACCATGGGACAGCGAGATACCATTAAAAAACAACAACCAATACCATCAGAAATCATGCTGCCTTTCTTCTTTACATTTGGCATTGAGGGTTATCAAAAAGATTTTCCCAGATATAGGCTTTGGAAGATTGAAATTCTGAAGTTTGCAGAGAATAAAGTATTGCTTCACAAACCTTTCCCTCGCACAAAATCTGAAATACACAAAACATTAAATAGAAATACTTATAATTAAATAGCGACAGGGAGTGTTTGACTAGATGACTAGCACAAACACCACACACCAAATAATAATACAAGAAACTAAACAAAAAATAATGCATTATTAAAACAAGATGAAAAAAAAATGGCTTCCACCCCAATTAATAAGCAGTGATACATTCCCGTAAGCATAATACATTCCTATCTCATATTCTGTACAAATTACAATCTGGATGTTAGCATAAAATAAAAAATAAATATATTTACACAGGAAACAAAAAAATAAATAACTTAAAACAAACACTCCAAATCTAGAAATCTTATAAGAAATTGTAATCAGTTTTGATTCCATAGTTTTGTCCGCTCTGCTCTCATTCACTCATGCTTTTTAATTCTCAGACAATCTCTCTCTTGAACCTCTAGCTTAGGTCTCTGTGACGGGAAGTTCAAATCTCAGATTAATAATGGTCACACTTATTTGTTGAATAATATACTTATTAAAAATACACATTTCACAAGTTTTCTTCCCTCACTGACATTGCACTTTCCAGGAAGGCATAAAATGCACAGTTTTTGTCGGTATGTAAATCTATCATTATTAACGATAGCTTGTTTAGTGCGACAAACAGCTTTGTGAAACTTACACAGGCGATATGATAAATGGTCCCTTTCCTTTTCTGTCAGCTGCACGTAAAATAATCCTTCCAACCAATCTGATCGACTTATAGCAAGTGTTTTTAGCAAATATACTGTGCTGTCTATTGCACACACATGCATAATACTCTCCCACCAAACTTGTGCATACTTAAACTCCCCCAATAAACTCCCCTTAAACGTAATGAGACCATTCCTACTGGCCAAACGACTCTGAAACCCAGCAAGGCAACAGAGAGAGAGAGAGAGAGAGTCTGACTGGAACATGAACAGATACCATTAATAAAACTCAAACAAACAATGGTATAAATAAGATAAAATAAGACCAAACCATACACAAATCATCTGACATCTGTACAATTATGAGCTATAATCCTGCATGCATTATTATGTTAACAGAAATGTACCGTTGTACTGGTGAGAGATGTATACGAAGGAAATGTTTGGCAAAAAGATTATGAAGATGGAAATAGTTGAAAATGAACAGAATAGCAACCATAAACTTACATGTGTGGTACAGTCTTTTCCTTTTTGCACATAGAGACATGCATTGACCCTCTTTCTGTGCATTAGTGTAGCATTAAAACTGAACCAGCCACTGAGTCTGAGTGATGATATAAAGCCAAACCAAAGGCCAAAATAGGGAAGTTACGGCAATGCCTTGACTCAGATAAAAAGGAAATGCCTGAGAGAAGTTGACAGTTTGCTTATTACTGATCAGAAGGCATTGATTGCATCAGTTATTTGTAGCATAAAGGGCTTTTAGCGTTGGCTAATCAAATAAATGTATCTGTAAAACAATACATTGCCAGCTGAGACGTAAACACATGGAATCTGAGCCGTTATGGCAGATCACAAGAAATTTGGTTGGTTGACTGTAAATATCTTACCACTACACACATCTATGAATAAATAATACCTGGTAAAGCATGTTCCATAAATGAGTACATTTCATATGTTTCACTGAAGGAGGTTCAAAGGGGTAGTTCACTTAAAATGAAAATCTTATCATCATTTACTCAACTTCACGTCACTCCAAACTTGCACTACTTACTTTATTCTGTGAAACAAAAAAAGGCATTTTAAAGAAAAATTAGTGGGGTGCAAATCAACATTGGATTCCATTGACGTTCATTATATGGACACATTTTTTTCCCCCACATATGTTCTTTTATGTTCCACAGAAGAAAGAAACTCATACAGGTTTGAAAGGACATGAGGGTGAGTACATGGTGAACTATCCCTTAATGAATAAAAAAAATGAAAAAATGACCACATATTAACAAACTATTTTGAATATTACTAAAAATCAATAAAACAGCTCTGGATAGAAACACATACAAACAAAATAACCAAGTTCCTCTTTTAAAATCTTTGTGCTTTGTGAAAATGAAAGAAAAATATGAAAATAGGGCTGCCGTTGCACATTCTTGCACCTGTATGCTGAGAAGGGGAAAGAAAGATGCTACTTCTCGGATAATTCATCTTGTTCGATTAGACATTGTGAGAAAAAAACGAGACAAGACAAACAAACATTAATTTACCAAGTGGTCATAAATGAAGGCACTCGGATCTGCCAGAGGCCAAAGTGTGTTCCATAAAATTTCTTCATGTTCATTTTTGGGACAGGCAAGCACAGTGCATGCACAGTGTTGAGAAGTAGTTAAAATGGACAATTTCCTTTGTCTTTAAAAACAAAACGAACACAAAACTGTACAAAAGAAATTGTACTCCAAAAACTCACAAAGTGATTCTTTAGTTTCTTTCTCAGTTTCCATTTAAAAACTCTTTGATTGGTTTTGCATTTTCTTCCCCAGTTCCCTTCCAAACCCGGTCATGATCCTACAAGCACCTCCATAATATGGTCCAGTTCAGTGAGGTCCATTTTGAAAGGTTGGTTTGAGCTGACGGCAGGAGCAGAACCGCTGTAGGGCGAAAGAGTCTTGAGGAGCTCGTCCGCCGTCACCATGGGCGCCAGTTTCGATGGAGCCGCACCTGAGGATGAAGTGCAGGGGTCAAAGTCGTACATGGAGGTGTCAATGTCAGCAAAGAGAATGTCGTCCAGGGCAAGGTCTGTCAGAAAGCCTGAGGACAAGGCAGAAGGTGAGGTGCTCATGTCCAGGCTGTTGGGTGGAACAGTCTCTGGTGCGTTGGGGGCCGCTGAGCTTTCCTCGGGCAGCGGGACCAGCCCTCCAAGCTTTGGGCTGCAAGGCTTACTGCAGTCTTTGGAGTCCAAGGCCCCTGAGTTTAAGCTGGGGGGACACAACGGCATTTGGAGGGTTACTGTAAGGGACGAGAGGGAGGTAGCACCGGGCACAGATGTAGCTGTAGGTAAGGACGAAGGACAGAGCTCCTCAATCTCATCCAGGGCAGAAGAAAAACTGTCTCTGGTCACAGGTGAAGGGAGTCTGGGTAGAGTTGGTGGTGGTGGTGGAGGAGGAGGAACGAGCGGAGAGGGAGATGAGGGCGACGTGCAAAGCGTGACACTGTCCTCCTCTAAAAGCGAAGCTGGGGTAAGACAGGCCTCCAGAGGTGCTGGGTTTGACAGCCCTGACGAAGGCGACGTAAGGACCGGAGCGGAAAGTGCTGGGGACTGGGACAGTGGCGGTGCCACCATGGACAACACGCTGAAGGCAGGCTGTGCCTCGCGGAAACCCTCGTCCACAGGGTCGTCGGGTGGAGGGGAAGGAGGAAAGAAGAGTGGCCGCAGGTTGCCCTCCTGTTTCAGCTCATCTTGGATGCGCCTCAGCATGTTGTTGATGAGCACGCGCTTTTCCAAGCTGGGCTCGGTGAGCGCCCGGTGGTTGTACAGCTTCATCAGAGACATGTTGAAGATGGTCTGCCTCTGCAGTGTGTAGGAGACCTTTGAGAGCCCGTCGGCCATCGTTCCAGGCCCTGCCGCCAACGCTTTGCCTTCCAGCCCCTCTTCATCCTCATCTAGTTTCCGTTTTGCCCCTTTACCCAACATATATCTGCTTAGAGTAAGAGAGAGAGAGAGAGAGTGTTAGCCACATAGCCATTACGTTCATGACTCATTGCTGTTTACCTCTCTTAAGTTACGACTCGACACTGGTTCCATATAAACCTCTTGATCTACAGAAAAATATCTAATGGCAAAAATGTCAAACAAACATTTCAAGAAACTGAGATGTTAAAGGTGAAAGTGTATAATTCTGTGTTAAAATACTTTGTCCATTCTAGTTGAATTTAGAGGTGCTGGAAGTAGGGCTGCTGAGGGTGCTGTGCTGTCATATTTACAAGTGGGAAACTCCATATTCTAGATGATACTAGTTTCCAAGAAGTGATCAAACACTGATCTACTACAATATGTTATACAGACAAGAGATCAGTGAGTGGAAAGTAAGTCAAATCAAAAACTTTCACCATTTGCTTCAAGTAACAAACACATTGATACCATTTATAAATAAGAGACAAAAAATCCTCATAGTGAATTCAAATGTAGATATTTGGGTTTACTTTTCACAATATAATTATTTTGTTTTGTTCAGTCTACTTCCCTGTTATGTTTCCTAGATGAACATGTAACATGGTGTAAAAACAAACTCTAGATATTGAGGTATGAGTTTACCAGGTGCACTTGAAGGGTATACTATAAAAGTATAAACACTGCGACACTATCAAAAGATTGGTGTTTGTTTGAGAATTCCAACCAGTTTAACATAGAAACACTGGCTCAACCAATGGTGTGAGTTCGGGGGTGAGGCTGTCTTTTTGTCTGACCAATGGCAAGAAGTGTTTGGGAAACCTGTTTGTTCAAGTGCTGCTAGTTCACATAAACTGCACTTTAAAATAATAACTGTCCAGAATAACATAAAAACTATTTTTTAATGTACATTTTTTGTTGCTTATCTTTCTTCTTTTGAAAACATAGTGAGGAAAGGCAAAGGAAAGTACAAACAGAGTAAGATGGAAAAAACAAACACCATTTTTTTTAACAATATAGCCAACAGATAAATAACAAATACAAACAGAGCAGGCTATAACAGTTGGTTTGATCCAACAGACATGGTCAAAAAATACAAGAAACTGTTTCGATTAACAGTGGCTTGAAGCTTGGTTGCTATGACATTGGCTTGCAAGCTGTTGTCATATAGCATTCGGTGATGTTGCAGAGAGTTGAGAGTCAGTACAGTCTCTCTGTGCAGCCATCGCAGAGAGTCCATAATGCCTCACGTTTACAACTGTGCCTCACGTTTACAACTGTGCCAAAGAGATATGCATCTCCAGGACATTAGCAACAACAATATCTAAACAGAAGAATTCAAACTTTTGAGTTGCAGAGGAAAGATGGAAATAAATGTAAGCCATGAGCTGCTACCACAGGAGCGTTTACAGGAATACAATTCTGACTACTCCTTCCTGAGCCGTGCTGCAAATGTGTGTCAGACTTTCAGTAAGTACTCACGGTAAGAATGTGTCAGACGAGTGCAAAGCCCTGATCACTCCCTGCTTAAATACATGCTGGCTGCAGGAAGACAAGATCCAGCTGAGTGTTTGGTGGAAAAGGGGGACGGAGAGAAGGAGCGAGTGTGTGACCAACGCTGAGCTTTGAATGTAGGCAGAAGTGTTCTCAGATTCTGTAGCTCTAGGTTCATGATACAAGAGATTTAAATCAGATTGCATGGGCCACCGTAATATTACAGTGCATTGATTCACCATTGCTATATATGCTTAAGGAGAGACTAGGAAAAAAGGGTCTTGGGGTTGGGGGTGTTGGAACACAGATGGTCCAAACAACCTAACGTTGTACACTGGAACGTTTCACCATGCTTACAACTTGACGTGACTCACATGTAGCCTATGTGTGAGCAATTTTAGAAAAACACACATTAATGAAAGGTTTTTGTCATGTGTTGAATAAGTCATTTAAAACTTAATTTACAAATTTGGTAACCGTTGTTATCCAAAGCGATTTTCATTACATTTGATCAGTATGTGTGTTTCCTGGGAACTGAACCCATGACCTTGACATTTGGAGCACCATGCTCTTCAAGTTGAGTTACATTAATTGTGCTGCATGTTATTATTACTTTTGACTGTATAAAACACCAAAATACCAAAGAGATTTAGAAAACATGCTAAGTCCACATCCTTGTTTCTCCGAAAAACAATGCTAAAGCCAGATTCAACTTTTAAAAGTGCATTTCATGTAGGAATGTCTGTTTTTGCTTTGGTCTCTGTGTGATCCCGCCCACTTTTCATTTTTCCAATAGTATTTCGACACACTGGGTAGGCATTTGGCAGAAAACACAGCGTATTGTAGCCATGGAAGCTAGTAAACAAACTAGGTCATAGATTGTACATTTTAGCCAACCTAAAAAGCCTTGGTATCCATCTAAACAGCTCTATGTGTCCAATAGATAAAAAAGGCGGATAAATTAAGGCCCTATCCCAAATGGCACCCCTTGGTCTGTCGTGACGTACCAGCACTTTGACTGTCGTGAAGAAGTCGGCTACGGAGCACCTATCAGTGGGGGCTCGGCAAAAGTGTGCAAAATAACCCTCTCAAATATTTGGAATTTAGACTGCAGTACCCATTTCAACCACTAGCTGTCAATATTACATACTGCACCTTTCATACATTTCATTCCTTGAAACTCTACTATGTTTAAAATTGCATTTGCCACCCCATTTAATTCTTTATTTGCAACATACACTACCATAAAGTTTGGGGTCAGCAAGATTTTTAATTATTACACGCCTCTGTGGAATACTTGATTCTGATTGGTCAATAGTGCCATCCAGCGGTATGTTAATCCCATATAACAACCAGTCCTCCTCATCCTGTCGGGGGTTATTTTGAGAGAACCACCAGCTGGATGTACACTATCCTTTACTTACTTCACCTTTGAAAGAAGACTCCTATGCTCACCAGGCTTTTATTTTGTCAAAAATATAGTAAAAACAGTAATATTATTGCAATTTAAAAGATTTGTATTTTAATATATTTTAAAATTATTCCTGTAATGGAATAGCAGGATTTTCAGCAGCAGTTACTACAGTGTAGCATGATCTTTCAGAAATCATTCTAATATAATATAATAATATGATATACTAATTTGGTGCTTTGAATAAAATAAGTTCAAAAGAACAGAATTTATCAAGTTTGAAAAATTAAATACACATCCATCTAAAATAAAAAAAAAGCTAATGATATGATTAAAGTCTTCACCTAATGTGTGAACAATATTTTAAATATTTGCTTAAAACTACAATTTATTGTGTGTAAAATCCTTTTAAGCATGGAATACATTTTGACTGTACCTAAAGACAGTGTAACCACTAAATATGGTCTGTGGGCCATATAAGCAAAAAAGAAAGTAGTTTCAGATGCAAAGCAAGTTCTAAAATGTGTATTAATGATTATTAAGGCCAATACTTTTTCCCTTTGGAGTACAACATGCTAATGAATCACTCATAAAAGGACTGTGAACATGTAATAAAAAGAGTCCATTTTGGTTTCAAATCGACTTTTAAGGTCAGAATGAGGGTTATATATCGAGTAAAACATGAGGCATTTAAAACAATAGATCAGTCTTCTCTCTAGCCCACAAGGAAAGCTCAGAGATGGCAGCAAGGAGTGAGTGAGTGAGTGAGTGAGAGAGAGAGACATAAAAAGAAGGAAGCCCGTTCCTGAGGCCTCCCCTCATTAGCATAAAGTGAAGCCCGGTAGCAGTAGGCAGCATTGCAGTGGGCTTGAACCTAATACAGGCTGACAGCCTCACGCATCCTAGCCCTGCCTTCACACACACACACACACACTGAGCAGGCGCAGATCTGTCAGGCAGCTCCACTCACTCAGGAAGTGCAAGTGGCTGGGCCTGTTGCCTTGCTGCCTGTTACCATGACAAACACAGTCAGCTGGGAATCCACCCAAAAACTTGACAAAGAGAGAGAGAGAAAAAAAGAGAGAGAGAGTTTGGGAAAGAAGAGGATCTGAGGAAAGTTAAAGAAAGAAATGTTTCTCTTCCTTGACTGTGCTGCTTCTGAGGAGATGAATCTAAAACACTATATGACTAGCTGGAGAGAAAAACAAGTTTCATCTGGTCTGATGGATGTACATTCCAAAGCATGCAGTTTACATGCAGAGCAGACAAATAATTCATGAGATGCAGGGTTTATGAACAAGTAACCAAGATGTACAGTCATATCCAATTTGGTTCAGTAACATTTAGGGTGATTTTTTCAATTTAAAAGATATTTAGAGAGGTACTTAAAACAGTAAGCCATTTGATAAAATAAGTCTAAAATGGGAAGAATCCCCCCTCCTCCTCCTAAAAAAAAAGTGACATAGATACAAACAGAAATTAGTAATTTAGCTAAACTTCAAAACACCTCCTCTGCTACAGTAAAGGATCTGCTATTAAAAATAAAATTGTAACGTGACGTCCATAATGATGTTGCAGTAGGAAAAACAATTTTAGGCTATTTTTGAGAGGTTTTTTGGTGGATGAGTAAAAGATAAGGGGTATAAGAATGACTCAAGTGATAAAAATAGCATCTCACACTATGCAGCTAAAAAGTCACTACAAATTTGTGTTCAGATCTAGGAGTGATTCGGAGAGCCAGACACAAACATGACAGTCAAAAATCAGTACCGCAGAAGTATTTAGTCATTCACTTTGGATATAAACTTACCCAGAGTGGCCCTAGAACTGTATGCCATTGTCTGAAGCTTTCAAGAAAGTCTCAAGCAAATAAAGTTTCCCACAGTAATCCACACAGAGGAATGCCACGGCAGCTGAACGCGTCCTTGTGACTCACGCTGAGGAGTGGATACGACTGTCTGCAACACTCAAATGCCACTGCTGCCCCACCCTACGCATTCCTTCTGATTTTGCCTCGGTCTGCTTCTGTTTCCTCCATCCTTTTACTTTCATCTTCAGTGTGAAAAGTCAAAGTGTGTAGCATTCTGGTCTCTATAGTTCAGAAGTACACTGGCCAGGGAGTT